GTATATGCAGTTTGGTTTCAGATTTCAGATTTTGCTTTTTACAACGAGTTTACGTTTTCAACTAAGACATTGGCATACTTGGCATACAAGACATACAAGGCATTCAATGCTTTCATGGCTTTCAAGCGTTCGCGATTCTGTCCGATCCAAAATTACCGCTCAATAACATCTTTTTGTGTGGATTGGCCGCGAACAATACGACTTGTGTATGCGCCTATAAGTATTTTGAGCGCTTGCCCCATAATGCTCCAGATGATCGTAATCCAATTACGTTGAAATACAAAACGGCTGACAAAATAGTCTTATGGGCAAAAATCTCGTGTTCGTCATGTGACCCGGCCCTGTCCGTGCATGACAACGTCAATCATCATCAAGATAGCACGTGTGATCAGCATGTGAACACCTCATTGGATCACAGTTAGTTGTCATGGTGTTGAGGGCCCAATGACCTCTGGGTACTATTGCACAATTTTTCCATTTTGTGGCGGAGGAAAAAAACAAAAAAAAAAAAAAAAAAAGACGACAAAAAAACAAAGGCATTTTATGACTGGGTTACCACAGGTATCCCAGTAACAACGGAGCTAGATTGGCAAGGACTCTCACGACAATGTTTTCTAGAAAAACAGTCCATGATCTTACAGAAAATCTTATTCACTCTCATCGAGACGATTAATTAATGTACGAAGATTAACTTCCGCTCAGTCAATAAATGGCGAGTAAAGTATAATTATAAGTAAATTCCAATTTTTTTATTTGAACTTGAGATTTTGCTCGTTTGTTTGCTGAAATTGCGTGAGGAAATCTGGTCTTTCCACCACAATTTCGAATGAGACACTTCAACCAGACACAAGAGGATTTAATGCGGCTTGTTCTGTATTCCTTTAGCGGAGACACTCACTCTTCAATAGCTTTCTATATAATCTGTTTTATTCATCGATGGAGTATCTAATAAGTTGCTACAATCATGTAACTTGATCACAGTACTTTCATATCGTTTAGTAGTCCTACAGTAATATATCTGTCACTGGTACAAGTATTTTTACTTCTCAATACACTACATCCTTCCTGGGCAATGTTCAAAGAATCATTAGGAACATAATTATTGTAATCACAAGCTTTGAAATCAGACTATGGTCAATTCAATACTTAACGAAATGAGATCAGTCCTTCGTCGATTTAACTAGCCTTCTTGATCTTGTGGTAATAACCTGGTCACTCTGGGAGGCTTGCTCCACAACCTTATTAGAGGGCTCCGTAATTTTGAAAGCGTGGCTGAAGACCCATCAGACTCGTCAGTCTTAGCACTAGTGTCTACATCAATGTCATCACCAATATGCTTACTGGGCCCATATTTGAGGAACTTCGCACTGCGTATCGAAGTTGTACCCGTGTCGACATTGACTATACTAAAAGTGTCTCTCGCTTTGGTCTCAATAATTACGTGCTTGGCCGCAGAGAAAATTGAATCTAGTTTGTTCGGCTTCATGTTGGCACAAAATACGAGATCGCCAACTTTGAAATGATGCGGCTCTGCATGTCGCCTACTATCGTGATGTTCTTTCAAACGCGCTCGATACAAATTGCATTTTGACCGATGTTCGCGATCGAGTGCTGCCAGGGCTTATTTGAATTGAACTCAAAGTACGGTAGTTTTGTTCGAAAGTTGGCGGTGGAACAAAACCATTCTAGGTGCTTTTCCACTAATTTGATGCTCTGTAGAGCATAAGAATTTTAGGCAACTTCATTTGTCAGGATTTACCTTCGCTGATGGCTGCTCGAAAGTTCTTCATTAAATATCGATGAAATCTCTAATTTCCCTTTGCTTCGCACATAGTAGGGAGAAATACGAATATTTACTTCGAACTCCCCGCTTATAAACTGTTATCCGTTACCAGAAACGATTTCCTCTGGAAACCCAATTCGAGCGAATATATCTGTCGACGCTTTGATTACTTCACGTGAAGTGACCTCTTGTAAAATGTACGCTTCCGGTAGGATGAATCATAATCGATATAAGTCAAAATGGGTTTTTTTATCAATTGGACCAGAAGATCCAGTACACCTTTTACCCAAGGACCACGAGGTAAAGGTGTTGGTCGAAGCGGCGTGTACTTTTTAAGAGGTTGATCAACAATGCACGCTTGACAATTCTTGACCTTAGTTTCTATTGCATCATCCATACCATCAGAAAAAAAACGAGATCGAAGACATTGTTTAGTCTTGACGACTCCCTGATGGGTCTCGTGCGCTAATTTCAGAATTTCTTTTCGCAACGACTGTGGTACTACAATTCGGTTTTCTCGGAGAACAATTTCGTCAAGATTAGACAATTCGTCTCTTTATGCACCATAAAGTTTGAGATCATCCGTCAGTAACAATTTTCCACTTTGAGTTTGAACAAGTAATTGGGAGAGCGTGATGTCTCGGATCGCATGTCAGAGAGGGTGACAGCTTGAGGGTCTCACATATTTGATGTGAAAACAAATCTTATGTACTCTTTACAAACCAAACCAGTATCGGAAAAATCATTTTGCTCGGACGGCAAACGTGATAATGAATCTGCTGTGTTCGCGTTACCTGCGATATGCTGAATACGAAAAGTATACTGGTGCATTCTCCAAGCTAAGCGCTGACGCAGTGGTAAACTATTACTCGAGTGCGGATTGAGCATAGTAGGAAGAGGCGTGTGGTCGTTTATCAAGGTGAACTCTAAGTCAAACAAGTAATTGTGCAAATGTTCAATAGCCAAAACGCAACCTGGCGCTTCGCGCTCAATCTACGAATTTCTCCTTAAAGTTTCTGTCGATGTAAGTAATCGACTGATGTACGCAATAAGTTTGCGCTCACCAGTTCCTTGACCTTGCAGTAGAATTGCTCCTAAACCACAGGCGGTCCAAGCTCCAGCTGGTCTTTCCTCCATGAATGAGACTCTCTAACTAGAAACATGAGTATTTAATGCGGCTTTATCTCATTGAACTCTTTCAATTCCTGTTCTGCAATGTATGCTACAAATGTCCAAATTGAACGGACTTGAAAAGACTCACAGAAAGCGTATTTGCAGTACAACTAAAAACTTCGCTCGCCCTTTCACACGAACAAATTGTTTGAGAGAATTCAGAAATTAAATGCATGAAGGTTCCATCGAAAAATGCAAAACAAATTACTACTGTTCCACAATCTTACTGATATATTTTCAGTTTCTTTGTTATGATATGTTGTGACATCTTCTTCAATCTCTGCTCGTTTACAGTGAGCTATCAGTGAATCCTCTACTCCCACTTGTTACATCACAAATTTGTAGGTAATTTAAGGCCTTCCATGCCAGCTTTTACATTTTGTTAGACGCTTGGTACATTAAGCATTTATTCAGGGATTCTGTTTTTCTACAATGTTACCTTAAATCAAAGATTTTGTAGATAGTTCTGCTCTATATACCAATATTTTTGTAAAGGTTATATTTTGTATAACTTAAAGTTATTAAAAAATGTAGAATAATTTCAAATTATATTTCATATATTTACAATATTGGCAAACTACCGGAAAATTGGTGTTAAATTGATATATCTAAGTTATGGTCCGGAATTTAATTTTGGGAATGGAATCTTAAATCAAGATAGCATCGTTCAGTTGATGAATTTGTATATTCTCGATACCCGTTTGATGGAAAAAATGATGATGTTCTAGGGAGAAGTTATTTGTTAATCACTTTTATGAGTGATGGGGTAAGCCCTGACGTAATGAAAGACTTACATTTTAAAAGAATACAGTAATATCTTAACTAGAAAATAAAACACTGGAAAAACGTGAAAAAATAACTTGAACACACACTGTATATGGGAAAACTTTGAAGAGTCCAACTGAATTTCCATTATGCTTAAAATATTCCCAGTGCCTTTTTAGATTTTTAGAAGAAATTTTAAAGTATGCTTCAGAAACCATATGGTTTTTTCCCGCCATGAAAAACCACGTTGTGACATTCTAGACAGGAAGGTAACCTTTCTTCGAATTCGCCTGAAACTTGATTGTTGTTGAGTACCTTAGCCGCTTACCTGGAGGGTAAATGACTCATATAACGGCTGTACTCGAACCCTAATGATTCCAACCCAAGCGCCAGCGGACAAGCAGCAAATTAAGCAAAAGCCGTTTTTCGAGCGCACGTTTTGATCTACCATTTGAGTTGACTTCTGGGAGGTCATGTGTTTTCGGCCAGGTTACAAAGTTGTTTTCAAAATGGCGGCGTCTGCATTCGAATTTGTGGCAAAGAAGAGAATCTTCGAAAGGTCCGTTTTCTCCGTGGAATCTCAATATTCGGTAGGTAGTTACTGTTCTTATATACTTTTAAACAGCAGATGTAAACATTTCAGAGTTTTCCGGAGCATATCTCTCCTTTACATATGTAAACTGACGAGGGACCTTGCTAATGTTCAGCTGGTATGGGATTAGCAAGGCCTCTACGGGTTCGAGTACGAACATTGCACAATGATAACGAGCCTGACTGTGAATTCTTTTACGGTGGTAATAGTGCACTGCAGTCGTAACTTCAACCGATGCGATATTTTGAGCCACTTTCCTAACTACAACGAAAAGACATCTTTAGCAAAGGTTCTTGAGGATTCGGCTTATTACACTAATCCGCTTCCCTTAGGTTTAATTCTATTTTTATCGCTACTGACGTTCGTCTTTGATTACTATATCGCTACAGTTTTGGCTTCTCTTTAGTCATCACCGTTGTCTTTTTATACTTCGTTGGAATCCCCATCTTTAAAGATCTCAATTAACTTCTCGGAGATGAATCTCCGAACCATCATCTGCATATCTTCTTCCTCTGGGCATTCCAATTCGCTTATTAACTTTCTGATGTCATTCACAGCCTGCGTGGTCGAGCCTCTATGTACCTCTAAAGACGATTTCACCAACATGTAGACATCCAGAGGTAAAAGCACGGCGCCGACAATTCCTCCAGCTAAATTGGCCACGCGCACTCCCGCCAAACCCCCAGTTCACGCGAAGGCACCAGCAGCAGCGAAAGCTCCAGCCCCTACCGAAGCCGCGGACGAAAACGCACGGAAAAACCTGGCGGAGATATCGATTCTCTCCTCAGTTGAGGTCGTAAACTCCCTTTCGACTAGTTGGTGAAGAAATTCAAAACCATTGCTTTCTATTTCTCTTAGGTTGGAGATGAACCTCTCAAGGTTTTCCAATTTTTCTTGCAGCTGCGTGCAAGCTTCCTTGTCCTCGTCAATGGCTCCCTGAACCTCTTTCAATCCTAGCTTTGCGAGGATTATCTCGATTACTTTGGAAACAGACATCACCAGGCCTCCTGCGCCACCGATTCCGGCACCAACGAGGGAGACCACAAGCCCGGCCCCAAAAGTGAAGGGCGCGGCGATCAGGCCCGCTATCGCTAGGATTCCTCCTACGGTGCTCGCGGAAGCACCTGCTATGGTCGATTTACTGACTTTTATGTGTTGCTCGTGTAATTTGGTTGCTAGTTCCTCCAGTTTTTCCAAAGTGCGTTTCCTCTGTGGTATCCACCGCCTGAAGGTGGTAACCACATCTTCCTCTAACCGGCCTAATTCCCGGAATCTCATTATGACTTGGGCATAACTTTCTTCTGACAATAAAATTCTGCAAGTCAAATATTCAATGTAGAAAAAAATTTAACTTTTGATGATCTATTCTGTCTAGATGCATAAGGCTGCTTTGCGATGGGTTGCTATTAATCGCCTGAGGGGGGGGGGGGGGGAAAAGCTGGGCGATTTTGACTGTGTCTTGATAACATTAATCTTATCCCCCATAAGGCTTTGTAACACTCTTATGATCCTCTCCCTCCCCTCCCCTTATTAACAGTTTATCGGCAGTCTTTATATTCTGTTAGCGATGACTGATCCCCACTCCCTTCCCTCTGTAAACTCTTGGTGTTCACGCGTGACATATCCTCCAAATATTAGAATTCTGGTTGATTTCTCTGTAAAACATTCTCTAAACCACCGGTATGCATAAATCTACCCGCATTCCGCCTTTATATGCTAGAAAACGAACTTATGACGCTCAAAATATTTGGGTCAAACGACTTCCTTAAATGATAATCGATCCCTCTCTTTGCGCAAAGGTTTCTGGGAACGTCAGATGGTAAATATTGCAAAACAACCAACAAATGTATTCGAAATATGTATGGCTAAATTTGTTTTGACGCCTAAAAACACGATTTTGGAGAGATCATCACTTTTTCGTTGCTGTTTTTTCAGAATTGGATTTAGACAATGTTGATTGTTGGGAAACGTAAGATTTTCTTTGAATAACCACGAAACTACTCTATTTCCGCAAGTTTCATTGTGAATTCGTTATAGCGTAATGGTCTCGAAATATTAGAAATATCACATCATTCTTGACCTACGTTCATACACCTATTCTTAAATGGCAAGGAAAGTATAATTGTAAGTAAATTCAAACTTTTTATATTGAAGTTGTGAGAGTTTGATCGTTTGTTTGCTGCAATGGTTTGAGTAAATCTGGTCTTTCCTCCACAATTTCGAATGAGACACTTCTACCAGACACAAGAGGATTTAATGCGGCTTTTTGTGTATTCATTTAGCGGAGACACTCACTCTTCAATAGCTTTCTATATGTTTTGTTTTATTCATCGATGGAGTATGTAATAAGTTGCTACAATCATGTAACTTGATCACAGTACTTTCATATCGTTTAGTAGTCCTACAGTAATATTACTAACAGTGGTACAAGTATTTTAACTTCTAAATACACTGCATCCTTCCTAGGCAATGTTCAAAGAATCATTAGGAATATAATTATTGTAATCACATGCTTTGAAATCAGACTATGGTTAATTCAATACTTAACTGACGAAATGAGATCAGTCCTCCGTTGATTTAACTACCCTTCTTAGGTAGGTAGGTTCAGCTTATTACACAGATCCTCTTCCCTTAGGTTTCATTCTATTGTAATCGCTACTGACGTTCGTCTTTGATTACTATATCGCTTCAGTTGTGGCTTCTCTGTAGTCATCACCGTCGTCTCTTTGTTCTTCGTTTGAATCCCCATCATTAAAGATCTCAATTAACTTCTCGGAGATGAATCTCCGAACCATCTTCTGCATATCTTCTTCCTCTGGGCATTCCAATTCGCTTATTAACTTTCTGATATCATTCACAGCCTGCGTGGTCGAGCCTCTATGTACCTCTAAAGACGATTTCACCAACATGTAGACATCCAGAGGTAAAAGCACGGCGCCGACAATTCCTCCAGCTAAATTGGCCACGCGCACTCCCGCCAAACCCCCAGCTCGCGCGAAGGCACCAGCAGCAGCGAAAGCTCCAGCCCCTACCGAAGCCGCGGACGAAAACGCACGGAAAAACCTGGCGGAGATATCGATTCTCTCCTCAGTTGAGGTCGTAAACTCCCTTTCGACTAGTTGGTGAAGAAATTCAAAACCATTGCTTTCTATTTCTCTTAGGTTGGAGATGAACCTCTCAAGGTTTTCCAATTTTTCTTGCAGCTGCGTGCAAGCTTCCTTGTCCTCGTCAATGGCTCCCTGAACCTCTTTCAATCCTAGCTTTGCGAGGGTTATCTCGATTACTTTGGAAACAGACATCACCAGGCCTCCTGCGCCTCCGATTCCGGCACCAACGAGGGAGACCACAATCCCGGCCCCAAAAGTGAAGGGCGCGGCGATCAGGCCCGCTATCGCTAGGATTCCTCCTACGGTGCTAGCGGAAGCACCTGCTATGGTCGATTTACTGACTTTTATGTGTTGCTCGTGTAATTTGGTTGCTAGTTCCTCCAGTTTTTCCAAAGTGCGTTTCCTCTGTGGTATCCACCGCCTGAAGGTGGTAACCACATCTTCCTCCAACCGGCCTAATTCCCGGAATCTCATTATGACTTGGGCATAACTTTCTTCTGACAATAAAATTCTGCAAGTCAAATATTCAATGTAGAAAAAAATTTAACTTTTGAAGATCTATTCTGTCTAGATGCATAAGGCTGCTTGACGATGGGTCACTATTAATCGCCTGAGTGAGGAGGGGCGGGGGAAGCTGGACGATTTTGACTACGTCTCGATAACATTTATCTGATCCCCCATAAGGCTTTGTAACACTCTTATGATCCTCTCCCTCCCCTCCCCTTATTAACAGTTTATCGGCAGTCTTTATATTCTGTTGGCGATGACTGATCCCCACTCCCTTCCCCTGTAAACTCTGTGATCCCCCCCCTCCACTTCAGTGCATGATAGGTCCCCCTCTTATAAAGGCCTCCACCCAAGCCGCTCGCAGACCCCAAATTTCTTTCTCGGAAATGACCCTATAGAACTGTGTTATTTGTGTAGACTTGTGTATATAATCCAGAGTAGACTTTGAAATTCATTTCTTAAAACACTTTAAAATCTGCTCGATTATGTGTAACTTTTCCATTCATCACGTTATCCGCAAGGTTACATGGTAACCATTTGCTCTCGATTTGACCTTAACGGCGCGTGACTGAAACAGGAAGTAATTTGGCTGTTGCCAAACGTACCACACAAAAGAAAGCTGCTTTCTCCGGGATCTGCATACTTCCTCACAAAGTTGTTTTGGTTAAGAATTAAAGAAAAGGCTGCGTAACAGTTGCAATTTTCTAAAAGTCGAAAGATTTTTTGAATAATTATGCATATGGAATATAAACGGTTTTAATAACCTTATCACCCTTGAAAGCATAACTGCGTGATGTTGATGCGATTTTGCATCAAATCATATTGAATTTCAGTTTGTATCAAAAGACCTTTACTCTTGGTGTTCACGCGTGACATATCCTCCAAATATTAGAATTCTGGTTGATGTCTCTGTAAAACATTCTCTAAACCACCGGTATGCATAAATCTACCCGCATTCCGCCTTTATATGCTAGAAAACGAACTTATGACGCTCAAAATATTTGGGTCAAACGACTTTTTAAATGATAATCGATCCCTCTCTTTGCGCAAAGGTTTCTGGGATCGTCAGAACAACCAAAAAATGTATTCGAAATATGTATGGCTAAATTTGTTTTGACGCCTAAAAACACGATTTTGGAGAGAGATCATCGCTTTTTCGTTGCTGTTTTTTCAGAATTGGATTTAGACAATGTTGATTGTTGGGAAATGTAAGATTTTCTTTGAATAACCACGAAACTACTCTATTTCCGCAAGTTTCATTGTGAATTCGTCATAGCGTAATGGTCTCGAAATATTAGAAATATCACATCATTCTTGACCTACGTTCATACACCTATTCTTGAACAAACCTTTGTCCGTCGTCCCGACCCACTTGTAACAGCTCAATATCCTGAAAACTCATTTTTTGATGGACAATTGTATTGATATATCCAGATCGCTATAACAGCGTGACAAAAATGGATTCAAATCGCTGAAACTTTAACTGTTATTTGTTTACTGAAGACATAACAAGCGCATGTGCACGAATATGACGCGTGACCTCGTACAGAAATATGTTATTCGCCAGCCGAGATGTCTGTTTTGGGAAAAAGTGTACTTAAGACAGAGGGTACAGTTTTTTCCCGATACGGACTGACCTAGGCTGATGAATAACATTTTTCCCCCCTTAAACTTGACGAAATTCTTTCCAAAAGAACCCGCATGATTAAAATAAGGGATGTAGTTATGGCAAGACCTTCCATAAACTGAAGAACTTTTAGCGAGTGAATGGTAGTTTAAAAGGAGGTAATGCAAATTAAAGAGAGAGGCCTCACTGAAATATTTTCATTTGTGTAATGGTAATGGCGATTTAAAAGGCTTCTATACAAACTCGCGAGCATTATTTTTACAAATATCTCTGGCAATCTGACACCGATTAGAGAGCGCGTAAGAAAAACAAGCGCGTGCACACTTTTGGAAAAACAACGGAGCTAGATTGGCAAGGACTGTCACGACAATATTTTCGTGAAAAACAATCAATGATCTTACGGAAAATATTATTCACTCTCATCGATGCGATTAATTTATGTACGAAGATTACCTTCTGTTTAGTAAATAAATGGCAAGGAAAGTATAATTGTAAGTAAATTCAAATTTTTTATATTGAAGTTGTGAGAGTTTGATCGTTTGTTTGCTGCAATGGTTTGAGTAAATCTGCTCTTTCCTCCACAATTTCGAATGAGACACTTCTGCCAGACACAACAGGATTTAATGCGGCTTTTTGTGTATTCATTTAGCGGAGACACTCACTCTTCAATAGCTTTCTATATATTCTGTTTTATTCATCGATGGAGTATCTAATAAGTTGCTACAATCATGTAACTTGATCACAGTACTTTCATATCGTTTAGTAGTCCTACAGTAATATTACTAACACTGGTACAAGTATTTTAACTTCTAAATACACTGCATCCTTCCGCGGCAATGTTCAAAGAATCATTAGGAATATAATTATTGTAATCACATGCTTTGAAATCAGACTATGGTTAATTCAATACTTAACTGACGAAATGAGATCAGTCCTTCGTTGATTTAACTACCCTTCTTAGGTAGGTAGGTTCAGCTTATTACACAGATCCTCTTCCCTTAGGTTTCATTCTATTGTAATCACTACTGACGTTCGTCTTTGATTATTATATCGCTTCAGTTGTGGCTTCTCTGTAGTCATCACCGTTGTCTCTTTGTTCTTCGTTTGAATCCCCATCATTAAAGATCTCAATTAACTTCTCGGAGATGAATCTCCGAACCATCTTCTGCATATCTTCTTCCTCTGGGCATTCCAATTCGCTTATTAACTTTCTGATGTCATTCACAGCCTGCGTGGTCGAGCCTCTATGTACCTCTAAAGACGATTTCACCAACATGTAGACATCCAGAGGTAAAAGCACGGCGCCGACAATTCCTCCAGCTAAATTGGCCACGCGCACTCCCGCCAAACCCCCAGCTCGCGCGAAGGCACCAGCAGCAGCGAAAGCTCCAGCCCCTACCGAAGCCGCGGACGAAAACGCACGGAAAAACCTGGCGGAGATATCGATTCTCTCCTCAGTTGAAGTCGTAAACTCCCTTTCGACTAGTTGGTGAAGAAATTCAAAACCATTGCTTTCTATTTCTCTTAGGTTGGAGATGAACCTCTCAAGGTTTTCCAATTTTTCTTGCAGCTGCGTGCAAGCTTCCTTGTCCTCGTCAATGGCTCCCTGAACCTCTTTCAATCCTAGCTTTGCGAGGGTTATCTCGATTACTTTGGAAACAGACATCACCAGGCCTCCTGCGCCACCGATTCCGGCACCAACGAGGGAGACCACAAGCCCGGCCCCAAAAGTGAAGGGCGCGGCGATCAGGCCCGCTATCGCTAGGATTCCTCCTACGGTGCTCGCGGAAGCACCTGCTATGGTCGATTTACTGACTTTTATGTGTTGCTCGTGTAATTTGGTTGCTAGTTCCTCCAGTTTTTCCAAAGTGCGTTTCCTCTTTGGTATCCACCGCCTGAAGGTGGTAACCACATCTTCCTCTAACCGGCCTAATTCTCGGAATCTCATTATGACTTGGGCATAACTTTCTTCTGACAATAAAATTCTGCAAGTCAAATATTCAATGTAGAAAAAAATTAAACTTTTGAAGATCTATTCGGTCTAGATGCATAAGGCTGCTTTGCGATGGGTCGCTCTTAATCGCCTGAGGGGGGGCGGGGGGGGGGGGGAAAAGCTGGGCGATTTTGACTGTGTCTTGATAACATTTATCTTATCCCCCATAAGGCTTTGTAACACTGTTATGATCCTTTCCCTCCCCTCCCCTTATTAACAGTTTATCGGCAGTCTTTATATTCTGTTGGCGATGAGTGATCCCCACTCCCTTCCGCTGTAAACTCTGTGATCCCCCCCCCCCTCCACTTCAGTGCATGATAGGTCCCCCTCTTATAAAGGCCTCCACCCAAGCCGCTCGCAGACCTCAAATTTCTTTCTCGGAAATGACCCTATAGAACTGTGTTATTTGTAGACTTTTGTATGTAATCAGAGTAGACTTTGAAATTCATTTCTTAAAACACTTTAAAATCTGCTCGATTATGTGTAACTTTTCCATTCATCACGTTATCCGCAAGGTTACAGCGTAACCATTTGCTTTCGATTTGACCTTAACGGCGCGTGACTGAAACAGGAAGTAATTTGGCTGTTGCCAAACGTACCACACAAAAGAAACCTGCTTTATCTGGGATCTGCATACTTCCTCACAAAGTTGTTTTGGTTAAGAATTAAAGAAAAGACTGCGTAACAGTTGTAATTTTCTAAAAGTCGAAAGATTTTTTGAATAATTATGCATATGGAATATAAACTGTTTTAATAACCTTATCACCCTTGAAAGCATAATTGCGTGATGTTGATGCGATTTTGCATCAAATCATATTGAATTTCAGTTTGTATCAAAAGACCTTTACTCTTGGTGTTCACGCGTGACATATCCTCCAAATATTAGAATTCTGGTTGATGTCTCTGTAAAACATTCTCTAAACCACCGGTATGCATAAGTCTACCCGCATTCCGCCTTTATATGCTAGAAAACGAACTTATGACGCTCAAAATATTTGGGTCAAACGACTTCCTTAAATGATAATCGATCCCTCTGTTTGTGCAAAGGTTTCTGGGATCGTCAGATGGTAAATATTGCAAAACAACCAACAAATGTATTCGAAATATGTATGGCTAAATTTGTTTTGACGCCTAAAAACACGATTTTGGAGGGAGATCATCGCTTTTTCGTTGCTGTTTTTTCAGAATTGGATTTAGACAATGTTGATTGTTGGGAAATGTAAGATTTTCTTTGAATAACCACGAAACTACTCTATTTCCGCAAGTTTCATTGTGAATTCGTCATAACGTAATGGTCTCGAAATATTAGAAATATCACATCATTCTTGACCTACTTTCATACACCTATTCTTGAACAAACCTTTGTCCGTCGTCCCGACCCACTTGTAACAGCTCAATATCCTGAAAACTCATTTTTTGATGGACAATTGTATTGATATATCCAGATCTCTATAACAGCGTGACAAAAATGGATTCAAATCGCTGAAACTTTAACTGTTATTTGTTTACTGAAGACATAACAAGCGCATGTGCACGAATCTGACGCGTGACTTCGTACAGAAATATTTGTTATTCGCAAGCCGAGATGTCTGTTTTGGGAAAAAGTGTACTTAAGACAGAGGGTACAGTTTTTTCCCGATACGGACTGACCTAGGCTGGTGAATAACATTTTTTTTCCCCTTAAACTTGACGAAATTCTTTCCAAAAGAACCCGCATGATTAAAATAAGGGATGTAGTTATGGCAAGACCTTCCATAAACTGAAGAACTTTTAGCGAGTGAATGGTAGTTTAAAAAGAGGTAATGCAAATTAAAGAGAGAGGCCTCACTGAAATATTTTCATTTGCGTAATGGTAATGGCGATTTAAAAGGCTTCTATACAAACTCGCGAGCATTATTTTTACAACTATCTCTGGCAATCTGACACCGATTAGAGAGCGCGTAAGAAAAACAAGCGCGTGCACACTTTTGGAAAAACAACGGAGCTAGATTGGCAAGGATTGTCACGACAATGTTTTCTTGAAAAACAGTCAATGATCTTACGGAAAATATTATTCACTCTCATCGATGCGATTAATTTATGTACGAAGATTAACTTCTGTTTAGTAAATAAATGGCAAGGAAAGTATAATTGTAAGTAAATTCAAATTTTTTATATTGAAGTTGTGAGAGTTTGATCGTTTGTTTGCTGCAATGGCTTGAGTAAATCTGGTCTTTCCTCCACAATTTCGAATGAGACACTTCTACCAGACACAAGAGGATTTAATGCGGCTTTTTGTGTATTCATTTAGCGGAGGCACTCACTCTTCAATAGCTTTCTATATATTCTGTTTTATTCATCGATCGAGTATCTAATAAGTTGCTACAATCATGTAACTTGATCACAGTACTTTCATATCGTTTAGTAGTCCTACAGTAATATCACTAACATTGCTACAAGTATTTTTACTTCTCAATGCACTACATCCTTCCTGGACAATGTTCAAAGAATTATTAGAAATATGATTATTATAATCACATGCTTTGAAATCAGACTATGGTTAATTCAATACTTAACGAAATGAGATTAGTCCTTCGTTGATTTAACCACCCTTCTTGATCATGTGGTGATAACCTAATCACTCTGCGAGGCTTGCTCCACAACCTTATTAGAGGGCTCGGTACTTTTGAAAGCGTCGCTGAAGACCCATCAGACTCGTCAGTCTTAGCACTAGTGTCTACATCAATGTCATCACCAATATGCTTACTGGGCCCATGTTTGAGGAACTTCGCACTGAGTATCAAAGTTGTACCCGTGTACACATTGACTAAACTAAAAGTGTCTCTCGCTTTGGTCTCATTAATATACTTGCTTGGCCGCAGAGAAATTTGAATCTAGACTTTTCGGCTTCGTGTTGGCACAAAATACGAGATCGCCAATTTTGAAATGATGGGGCTCTGCATGCGTTTTGCCTACTATCGTGATATTCCTTCAAACGCGCTTGATACAAATTGCATTTTGACCGATGTTCGCGATCGAGTGCTGATAGTGCTTATTTGAATTGAACTCGATGTACGGTAGTTTTGTTCGAAAGTTGGCGATTGAACAAAACCATTCTAGGTGCTTTTCCACTAATTTGATTCGGACTTCTTTTGTAGAGCATGAGAATTTTAGGCAACTCCATTTGTCAGGATTTACCTTCGCTGATGGCTGCTCGAAAGTTCTTCATTAAGTATCGATGAAATCTCTAATTTTCCTTTGCTTCGCACATAGTAAGGAGAAACACGAATATTTTGTATTCCACACGGTTTTAGAAACGCTTCAAACTCCCCGCTAACAAACTGTTATCCGTTATCCGTTATCAGAAACGATTTCCTCTGGAAACCCAATTCGAGCGAATATATCTGTCGACGCTTTGATTACTTCACGTGAAGTGATCACTTGTAAAATGTACGCTTCCGGTAGGATGAATCATAATCGATATAAGTCAAAATGGATTTTCCATCAATTGGACCACAAGATCCAGTACACCTTTTACTTAAGGACCTCGAGGTAAAGGTGTTGGTTTAGGCGGCGTGTACTTTTTAAGAGGCTGATCAACAATGCACGCTTGACAATTCTTGACCTTAGTTTCTATTGCATCATCTATCAGAAAAAAAAAACAAGTTCGAAGAGATTGTTTGGTCTTGACGACTCCCTGATAGGTCTCGTGCGCTAATTTTAGAATTTTTTTTCGCAACGACTGTGGTACAGCAATTCGGTTTTCTCGGAGAACAATTCCGTCGAAATTAGACAATTCGTCTCTTAACGCACTATACGATTTGAGATCACCCGTCAGCAACTGTTTTCCACTGAGTTTGAACAAGTAATTGGGATAGGGTGATGTCTCGGATCGGATGTCAGAGAGGGTGACAGCTTGAGGGTCTCACATATTTGATGTGAAAACAAATCTTATGTAGTCTTTACAAACCAAACCAGTATCGTAAAAATTATTTTGCTTGGACGGAAAACGCGATAACAAATCTGCTGTGTTAGCGTTGCCTACGATATGCTGAATACGAAGAGTATACTGGTGCAATCTCCAAGCTAAGCGCTGAATACGCGGTGGTAAACTTTGTGCAGATTGAGTATAGTAGAAAGAGGCTTGTTGTCAGTTATCAAGGTGAACTCTAAGCCAAACAAGTAATCGTGCAGATGTTCAACAGCCAAAACGCAACCAGTTGACTGTTGTTGGGCAGGTGCAAAACGGAAATCCTGCAGGAGCAAGATGTTTTGCTGAGTTTGTTATAATCTCTGTTATGGCAGATTGCTAAAAGGAAATTTGAATCAAATTATCTGTAGAGGTAAGGTCAGTTTATTTGGCTAATCATTGTTAGTAATTCAATGCAGTTGCTCAACATTCGGCAGCTTTACTTTGTAACGCACTGAGTCGCTGAATTGGACACGATTTACAGAAGTGCACAGTTTTCCTAACTACGAAAAAAAAACCATCTTTAGCAAAGGCTCTTGAGGATTCGACGTATTACACTGATCCGCTTATCTTAGCTTTCATTCAACTGTTATCGCTACTGACGTTCCTCTTTGATTATTATATCGCTATAGTTTTGGCTTCTCTTTTAGTCATCACCGTTCTCTCTTTGTACATTGTTTGAGACCCCATCATCAAAGACCTCATTTAACCTCTGTTCGATGAATTTCTGTACCAACTCCTGGATCTCGTTTTCCTCTGGGCATTTCAATTCGCTCAGTAACTTCCTGATGTCATTCACAGCCTGCGTAGTCGAGCCTCTATGCACCTCTAAAGACGATTTCACCAACACGTAGATATCCAGAGGTAACATCACGGCGCCAATAACTCCTCCAGCTATCTGGGTCGCGCGCGTTCCCGCCGAACCCCCAGCTCGAGCGAGGGAAAAAGCAGTAGCGACAACCCCAGCCCCTACCAAAGCCGTGGACGTCCGCAAAAACATGGCAGATAAATCTATTCTCCCCTCAGTCGAAGGTGGGAACTCCCTTATGGCTCGACTACGAAGAAATTCAAAACCATTGCTTTCTATTCTTCTTAGGTCGTAGATAAACCTCTCAAGGTCGTCCAACCGTTCTCCAAACGGCCCGGAAGCTTCCTTGTCCTCGTCAATGGCTCTCTGAACTTCTTTCAATCCTAGCTTTGCGAGGGTTACCTCGATTACTTTGGAAACAGACATCACCAGGCCTCCTACGCCTCCGATTCCGGCGCCAACGAGGGAGACCACAATCCCGGCCCCTAAAGTGAAGGGCGCAGTGATCAGGCCCGCTATCGCTAGGATTCCTCCTACGGTGCCCGCAGAAGCACCAACTATGGTCGATTTACTGCCCCTTATATGTTGCTCTTGTAATTTGGATGCTAGCTCCTCCAGTTTTTCCCTAGTGCGTTGCCTCGTTGGTCTCCATTGCCTAAAGTTTTCAACCAAGTCTTCTTTTAACTGGTCTAATGCTAGGACTCTCGTTTTGACTTGGACATGAACTCCTTCTGACAAAGTTCTACAAGACAAATATTCAATGAAGAAAAAAAATTATTTTAACTTTTGAAGATCTATTCTGTTTAATTGCATAAGACTGCTTTGCGATGGGTTACTATTTATAGCCTGAGGGAGGGGAGGGGGTTTGGGTATTTTGATTGCGTGGCAATAACATTTTTCTCACTAAGTTGTTTTGGTTAAGAATTAAAGAAATATCGAAGTCGGAGATGATCCATTTTTACTTCGCTGATCTCTTCTTGAATCATACGGCAAAGAAAGACTACGAGTTGTAATTTTCCAAAAGTCGACAGATTTTTTGACTGATTATGTATATGGTTAGCAACGGTTTGAATAACCTTATCATCCTTGAAAGCATAAGTGTGTGGTACTGTCGCGATTTCGCATCAAATCATATTGAGTTTCAGCTTGTATCAAAAGATCATAATCTCTTGGAAAGAAGTTCACACAGAAATATCCTCTAAACATTAGAATTCTGATTGATGTCTCAGTAAAACATTCACTAAACCATCGTTATTCAAGCTATACAATTTAAGTTTATAAAATGACTTAGAGATTGGTTGCTTCCATTGCTGCTTTTATCATAAATCTACCTGCATTCCGACTATGCAATGCAAGAAAACATACTCATGGCGTTAAAAATACAAACGACTTCCTTGATAATCGATCCCTCTGTTTGCGCAAAGGTTTCTGGGATCGCCGTGTGGGAAATATTGCAACCAAAATAATATATATTCGAATGTACACGTGTGTATTAACGATTAAAATTAGTCAGGGCTTTATCGAGCTGTTTATCATGAGCAACTTTCAGCGATTTATGCTTCAGTCCTTCGCTGGTCTATAAGTTTTTTGCAAACTTCATGATCCTTTCTTTTTTCTTGCGGATATCTGCTGTGTACTAACGCCATATTCAGCTGACAAATTGGTTCCCTTTTCTCCTTTCTCTAATCACAAAATTATAGACTGTTTATCTTTTATCGAAAAAACGGATCGCTTACGCTTCAAGTATATCATGATCGTGAATAAACATTCGTGACGCTGTGTAGCTTGTTTATCTTGCATATCAAGCCTAACGAGCCAATAGAGTGTGAAATCTCACTTACTAACGAAGTAACTCTAAGCCAATCAGACCTCATTCGAATGTTCTTCATTAGTTACGACGCCTACGAGCGCTGCTTTTGCTTTTTGAAAGCGAAACAAACTCGACTTTACTTTTCTTTTCAACGCTGTAGTTTTAAAAAGAATATGGCTACAGAGCTTGATCATGACTAATAAATATTCATGACAAAATTGGAACCAGAGAAAAAGTCCGGATAATCGAGGATGGACTGTATATGGCTAGATTTGTTTCGACGCCTAAAACACGATTTTGGAGAGAGTATATTGCTTTTTCGTTGCTGTTTTTCAGAATTGGATTTAGACAATGTTGACTGGTGGGAAATGTAAGTTTTTGTTTGAATAACCACGAAATATTTTAGAAAATCTTCAGATGAACATCTCTCCCTCCGTAACTATCATCATGAATTCGTCATAGCGTAATGGTCTCGAAATATTAGAAATATCACATCATTTTTGGCCTACAGTCATACATCTATTTTTTAACAAAGCTTTGTCCGTCATGCCAATCCACTTGTAACAACTCAATATCCTAAAAACGCATTCTTTGGTGGATAACTCGTATTCATATATCCAGATCGCTATAACGGTGTGACACAATTGGAGTCAATTCCCTGAAATTTAATTCTGTATACTGAAGACATAACCACCCCCTGGTCACGAATCTGACACGTGATTTCCTAGAAATATATGTTATTCGCCAGCCGGGTGGTCCGTATTGGGAAAAAGTCTACTCAAGACATAGGTCAAATTTTTTCCCAATGTGCACCGACCTTGGTTGGTGAATAACATATTTCTCCCTTAAACTGAACGAATTTCTTTTCAAAAGAACCCGAATGATTTAATGGAGGGGTCTAATTACGGCAAGATCTTCCATAAACTGAACAATTTTTGAGCGAGTAAATGGTAGTTAAGAGAGAGGTAATGCAAAGTAAAGAGAGAGGCCCTCACTGAAATATTTTCATTTGCGTAATGATAAAGGTGATTTAGAAGGCTTCCAAATGAACTTTGAAACATTATTTTTACGAGTATCTGTTGTAATCTGACACCGGTCAATTAGAGAGCGCATAAGAAAAACAAGCGCGTGCACACTTTTGGAAAAAACAACGGAGCTAGATTGGCAAATTGGTTCCCTTTTCTCCTTTCTCTAATCACAAAATCATAGACTGTTTATCTTTTATCGAAAAAACGGATCGCTTACGCTTCAAGAATATGATGATCGTGAATAAACGTTCGTGACGCTGTGTAGCTTGTTTATCTTGCATATCAAGCCTAACGAGCCAATAGAGTGTGAAATCTCACTTACTAACGAAGTAACTCTAAGCCAATCAGACCTCAATCGAATGTTCTTCATTAGTTACGACGCCTTCGAGCGCTGCTTTTGCTTTTTGAAAGCGAAACAAACTCGACTTTACTTTTCTTTTCAACGCTGTAGTTTTAAAAAGAATATGGCTACAGATCTTGATCATGACTAATAAATATTCATGACAAAATTGGAACCAGAGAAAAAGTTCGGATAATCGAGGATGGACTGTATATGGCTACATTTGTTTCGACGCCTAAAACACGATTTTGGAGAGAGTTTATTATCGCTTTTTCGTTGCTGTTTTTCAGAATTGGATTTAGACAATGTTGACTGGTGGGAAATGTAAGATTTTGTTTGAATAACCACGAAATATTTTAGAAAATCTTCAGATGAACTTCTCTCCCTCCGTAACTTTCATCGTGAATTCGTCATAGCGTAATGGTCTCGAAATATTAGGAATATCACATCATTCTTGACCTACAGTCATACATCTATTTTTGAACAAACCTTGGTCCGTCATGCCAATCCGCTTGTGACAACTCAATATCTTGAAAACGCATTCTTTGGCGGATAACTCGTATTCATATATCCAGATCGCTATAACGGTGTGACACAATTGGAGTCGATTCCCTGAAATTTAATTCTGTATACTGAAGACATAACAAGCACATGCGCACGAATCTGACACGTGATTTCCTAGAAATATATGTTATTCGCCAGCCGGGTGGTCCGTATTGGGAAAAAGTCTACTCAAGACATAGGTCAGAATTTTTCCCAATGCGTACCGACCTTGGCTGGTGAATAACATATTTCTCCCTTAAACTGAACGAAATTCTTTTCAAAAGAACCCGAATGATTTAATGGAGGGGTCTAATTACGGCAAGATCTTCCATAAACTGAACAATCTTTGAGCGAGTAAATGGTATTTAAGAGAGAGGTAATGCAAATTAAAGAGAGAGGCCCTCACCGAGATATTTTCATTTGCGTAATGATAGAGGTGATTAAGAAGGCTTCCAATTGAACTTTGAAACATTATTTTTACCAGTATCTGTTGTAATCTGACACCGATCAATTAGAGAGCGCGTAAGAAAAACAAGCGCCTGCACACTTTTGGAAAAACAACGGAGCTAGATTGGCAAGGACTGTCACGACAATGTGTTCTAGAAAAACAGTCCATGATCTTACAGAAAATCTTATTCACTCACATCGAGACGATTAATTTATGTACGAAGATTAACTTCCGCTCAGTCAATAAATGGCGAGTAAAGTATAATTATAAGTAAATTCCAATTTTTTTATTTGAACTTGAGATTTTGCTCGTTTGTTTGCTGAAATTGCGTGAGGAAATCTGGTCTTTCCACCACAATTTCGTATGAGACACTTCAACCAGACACAAGAGGATTTAATGCGGCTTGTTGTGTATTCCTTTAGCGGAGACACTCACTCTTCAATAGCTTTCTATATAATCTGTTTTATTCATCGATGGAGTATCTAATAAGTTGCTACAATCATGTAACTTGATCACAGTACTTTCATATCGTTTAGTAGTCCTACAGTAATATATCTGTCACTGGTACAAGTATTTTTACTTCTCAATACACTACATCCTTCCTGGGCAATGTTCAAAGAATCATTAGGAACATAATTATTGTAATCACAAGCTTTGAAATCAGACTATGGTCAATTCAATACTTAACGAAATGAGATCAGTCCTTCGTCGATTTAACTAGCCTTCTTGATCTTGTGGTAATAACCTGGTCACTCTGGGAGGCTTGCTCCATAACCTTATTAGAGGGCTCCGTAATTTTGAAAGCGTGGTTGAAGACCCATCAGACTCGTCAGTCTTAGCACTAGTGTCTACATCAATGTCATCACCAATATGCTTACTGGGCCCATATTTGAGGAACTTCGCACTGCGTATCGAAGTTGTACCCGTGTCGACATTGACTATACTAAAAGTGTCTCTCGCTTTGGTCTCAATAATTACGTGCTTGGCCGCAGAGAAAATTGAATCTAGTTTGTTCGGCTTCATGTTGGCACAAAATACGAGATCGCCAACTTTGAAATGATGCGGCTCTGCATGTCGCCTACTATCGTGATGTTCTTTCAAACGCGCTCGATACAAATTGCATTTTGACCGATGTTCGCGATCGAGTGCTGCCAGGGCTTATTTGAATTGAACTCAAAGTACGGTAGTTTTGTTCGAAAGTTGGCGGTGGAACAAAACCATTCTAGGTGCTTTTCCACTAATTTGATGCTCTGTAGAGCATAAGAATTTTAGGCAACTTCATTTGTCAGGATTTGCCTTCGCTGATGGCTGCTCGAAAGTTCTTCATTAAATATCGATGAAATCTCTAATTTCCCTTTGCTTCGCACATAGTAGGGAGAAACACGAATATTTGCTTCGAACTCCCCGCTTATAAACTGTTATCCGTTACCAGAAACGATTTCCTCTGGAAACCCAATTCGAGCGAATATATCTGTCGACGCTTTGATTACTTCACGTGAAGTGACCTCTTGTAAAATGTACGATTCCGGATAGGATGAATCATAATCGATATAAGTCAAAATGGGTTTTTTTATCAATTGGACCACAAGATCCAGTACACCTTTTACCCAAGGACCACGAGGTAAAGGTGTTGGTCGAAGCGGCGTGTACTTTTTAAGAGGTTGATCAACAATGCACGCTTGACAATTCTTGACCTTAGTTTCTATTGCATCATCCATACCATCAGAAAAAAAAACGAGATCGAAGACATTGTTTAGTCTTGACGACTCCCTGATGGGTCTCGTGCGCTAATTTCAGAATTTCTTTTCGCAACGACTGTGGTACAACAATTCGGTTTTCTCGGAGAACAATTCCGTCAAGATTAGACAATTCGTCTCTTTATGCACCATAAAGTTTGAGATCATCCGTCAGTAACAATTTTCCACTTTGAGTTTGAACAAGTAATTGGGAGAGCGTGATGTCTCGGATCGCATGTCAGAGAGGGTGACAGCTTGAGGGTCTCACATATTTGATGTGAAAACAAATCTTATGTACTCTTTACAAACCAAACCAGTATCGGAAAAATCATTTTGCTCGGACGGCAAACGTGATAATGAATCTGCTGTGTTCGCGTTACCTGCGATATGCTGAATACGAAAAGTATACTGGTGCATTCTCCAAGCTAAGCGCTGACGCAGTGGTAAACTATTACTCGAGTGCGGATTGAGCATAGTAGGAAGAGGCGTGTGGTCGTTTATCAAGGTGAACTCTAAGTCAAACAAGTAATTGTGCAAATGTTCAATAGCCAAAACGCAACCTGGCGCTTCGCGCTCAATCTACGAATTTCTCCTTAAAGTTTCTGTCGATGTAAGTAATCGACTGATGTACGCAATAAGTTTGCGCTCACCAGTTCCTTGACCTTGCAGTAGAATTGCTCCTAAACCACAGGCGGTCCAAGCTCCAGCTGGTCTTTCCTCCATGAATGAGACTCTCTAACTAGAAACAAGAGTATTTAATGCGGCTTTATCTCATTGAACTCTTTCAATTCCTGTTCTGCAATGTATGCTACAAATGTCCAAATTGAACGGACTTGAAAAGACTCACAGAAAGCGTATTTGCAGTACAACTAAAAACTTCGCTCGCCCTTTCACACGAACAAATTGTTTGAGAGAATTCAGAAATTAAATGCATGAAGGTTCCATCGAAAAATGCAAAACAAATTACTACTGTTCCACAATCTTACTGATATATTTTCAGTTTCTTTGTTATGATATGTTGTGACATCTTCTTCAATCTCTGCTCGTTTACAGTGAGCTATCAGTGAATCCTCTACTCCCACTTGTTACATCACAAATTTGTAGGTAATTTAAGGCCTTCCATTTTGTTAGACCAGATTTATTAGATAGTTCTGCTTTATATACCAATGTTTTTAAATCAAAGATTTTTATAGTTTTGTATAACCAATATTTTTTAAAGGTTATATTTTGTATAACTTGTTATTAAAAAATGTAGAATAATTTCAAATTATATTTCATATATTTGCAATATTGGCAAACTACCGGAAAATTGGTGTTAAATTGATATATCTAAGTTATGGTCCGGAATTTAATTTTGGGAATGGAATCTTAAATCAAGATAGCATCGTTCAGTTGATGAATTTGTATATTCTCGATACCCGTTTGATGGAAAAAATGATGATGTTCTAGGGAGAAGTTATTTGTTAATCACTTTTATGAGTGATGGGGTAAGCCCTGACGTAATGAAAGACTTACATTTTAAAAGAATACAGTAATATCTTAACAAGCTGAGGAAATTAATAAATAGAAAACAAAACACTGGAAAAACGTGAAAAAATAACTTGAACACACACTGTATATGGGAAAACTTTGAAGAGTCCAACTGAATTTCCATTATGCTTAAAATATTCCCAGTGCCTTTTTAGATTTTTAGAAGAAATTTTAAAGTATGCTTCAGAAACCATATGGTTTTTTTCCCGCCATGAAAAACCACGTTGTGACATTCTAGACAGGAAGGTAACCTTTCTTCGAATTCGCCTGAAACTTGATTGTTGTTTAGTAACTTAGCCGCTTACCTGGAGGGTAAATGACTCATATAACGGCTGTACTCGAACCCTAATGATTCGAGCGCACGTTTTGATCTACCATTTGAGTTGACTTCTGGGAGGTCATGTGTTTTCGGCCAGGTTACAGAGTTGTTTTCAAAATGGCGGCGTCTGCATTCGAATTTGTGGCAAAGAAGAGAATCTTCGAAAGGTCCGTTTTCTCCGTGGAATCTCAATATTCGGTAGGTAGTTACTGTTCTTATATACTTTTAAACAGCAGATGTAAACATTTCAGAGTTTTCCGGAGCATATCTCTCCCTTACATATGTAAACTGACGAGGGACCTTGCCAATGTTCGGCTGGTATGGGATTAGCAAGGCCTCTACGGGTTCGAGTACGTATATTGCACAATGATAACGAGCCTGACTGTGAATTCTTTTACGGTGGTAATAGTGCACTGCAGTCGTAACTTCAACCGATGCGATATTTTGAGCCACTTTCCTAACTACAACGAAAAGACATCTTTAGCAAAGGTTCTTGAGGATTCGGCTTATTACACTAATCCGCTTCCCTTAGGTTTAATTCTATTTTTATCGCTACTGACGTTCGTCTTTGATTACTATATCGCTACAGTTTTGGCTTCTCTTTAGTCATCACCGTTGTCTCTTTGTTCTTCGTTTGAATCCCCATCATTAAAGATCTCAATTAACTTCTCGGAGATGAATCTCCGAACCAACTTCTGCATATCTTCTTCCTCTGGGCATTCCAATTCGCTTATTAACTTTCTGATGTCATTCACAGCCTGCGTGGTCGAGCCTCTATGTACCTCTAAAGACGATTTCACCAACATGTAGACATCCAGAGGTAAAAGCACGGCGCCGACAATTCCTCCAGCTAAATTGGCCACGCGCACTCCCGCCAAACCCCCAGTTCACGCGAAGGCACCAGCAGCAGCGAAAGCTCCAGCCCCTACCGAAGCCGCGGACGAAAACGCACGGAAAAACCTGGCGGAGATATCGATTCTCTCCTCAGTTGAGGTCGTAAACTCCCTTTCGACTAGTTGGTGAAGAAATTCAAAACCATTGCTTTCTATTTCTCTTAGGTTGGAGATGAACCTCTCAAGGTTTTCCAATTTTTCTTGCAGCTGCGTGCAAGCTTCCTTGTCCTCGTCAATGGCTCCCTGAACCTCTTTCAATCCTAGCTTTGCGAGGGTTATCTCGATTACTTTGGAAACAGACATCACCAGGCCTCCTGCGCCTCCGATTCCGGCACCAACGAGGGAGACCACAATCCCGGCCCCAAAAGTGAAGGGCGCGGCGATCAGGCCCGCTATCGCTAGGATTCCTCCTACGGTGCTCGCGGAAGCACCTTCTATGGTCGATTTACTGACTTTTATGTGTTGCTCGTGTAATTTGGTTGCTAGTTCCTCCAGTTTTTCCAAAGTGCGTTTCCTCTTTGGTATCCACCGCCTGAAGGTGGTAACCACATCTTCCTCCAACCGGCCTAATTCCCGGAATCTCATTATGACTTGGGCATAACTTTCTTCTGACAATAAAATTCTGCAAGTCAAATATTCAATGAAGAAAAAAATTTAACTTTTGATGATCTATTCGGTCTAGATGCATAAGGCTGCTTTGCGATGGGTCGCTATTAATCGCCTGAGGGGGGGGCGGGGGAAAAGCTGGGCGATTTTGACTGTGTCTTGATAACATTAATCTTATCCCCCATAAGGCTTTGTAACACTCTTATGATCCTCTCCCTCCCCTCCCCTTATTAACAGTTTATCGGCAGTCTTTATATTCTGTTAGCGATGACTGATCCCCACTCCCTTCCCTCTGTAAACTCTTGGTGTTCACGCGTGACATATCCTCCAAATATTAGAATTCTGGTTGATTTCTCTGTAAAACATTCTCTAAACCACCGGTATGCATAAATCTACCCGCATTCCGCCTTTATATGCTAGAAAACGAACTTATGACGCTCAAAATATTTGGGTCAAACGACTTCCTTAAATGATAATCGATCCCTCTCTTTGCGCAAAGGTTTCTGGGATCGTCAGATGGTAAATATTGCAAAACAACCAACAAATGTATTCGAAATATGTGTGGCTAAATTTGTTTTGACGCCTAAAAACACGATTTTGGAGAGATCATCGCTTTTTCGTTGCTGTTTTTTCAGAATTGGATTTAGACAATGTTGATTGTTGGGAAACGTAAGATTTTCTTTGAATAACCACGAAACTACTCTATTTCCGCAAGTTTCATTGTGAATTCGTTATAGCGTAATGGTCTCGAAATATTACATGAGAAATATCACATCATTCTTGACCTACGTTCATACACCTATTCTTGAACAAACCTTTGTCCTTCGTCCCGACCGACTTGTAACAGCTCAATATCCTGAAAACTCATTTTTTGATGGACAATTGTATTGATATATCCAGATCGCTATAACAGCGTGACAAAAATGGATTCAAATCGCTGAAACTTTAACTGTTATTTGTTAACTGAAGACATAACAAGCGCATGTGCACGAATCTGACGCGTGACTTCGTACAGAAATATGTTATTCGCCAGCCGAGATGTCTGTTTTGGGAAAAAGTGTACTTAAGACAGAGGGTACAGTTTTTTCCCGATACGGACTGACCTAAGCTGATGAATAACATTTTTTTCCCCCTTAAACTTGACGAAGTTCTTTCCAAAAGAACCCGCATGATTAAAATAAGGGAAGTAGTTATGGCAAGACCTTCCATAAACTGAAGAACTTTTAGCGAGTGAATGGTAGTTTAAAAGGAGGTAATGCAAATTAAAGAGAGAGGCCTCACTGAAATATTTTCATTTGTGTAATGGTAATGGCGATTTAAAAGGCTTCTATACAAACTCGCGAGCATTATCTTTACAAATATCTCTGGCAATCTGACACCGATCAGAGAGCGCGTAAGAAAAACAAGCGCGTGCACACTTTTGGAAAAACAACGGAGCTAGATTGGCAAGGATTGTCACGACAATGTTTTCTTGAAAAACAGTCAATGATCTTACGGAAAATATTATTCACTCTCATCGATGCGATTAATTTATGTACGAAGATTACCTTCTGTTTAGTAAATAAATGGCAAGGAAAGTATAATTGTAAGTAAATTCAAATTTTTTATATTGAAGTTGTGAGAGTTTGATCGTTTGTTTGCTGCAATGGTTTGAGTAAATCTTGTCTTTCCTCCACAATTTCGAATGAGACACTTCTACCGGACACAAGAGGATTTAATGCAGCTTTTTGTGTATTCATTTAGCGGAGACACTCACTCTTCAATAGCTTTCTATATATTCTGTTTTATTCATCGATGGAGTATCTAATAAGTTGCTACAATCATGTAACTTGATCACAGTACTTTCATATCGTTTAGTAGTCCTACAGTAATATTACTAACACTGGTACAAGTATTTTTACTTCTAAATACACTGCATCCTTCCTAGGCAATCTTCAAAGAATCATTAGGAATATAATTATTGTAATCACATGCTTTGAAATCAGACTATGGTTAATTCAATACTTAACTGACGAAATGAGATCAGTCCTTCGTTGATTTTACTACCCTTCTTAGGTAGGTAGGTTCAGCTTATTACACAGATCCTCTTCCCTTAGGTTTCATTCTTTTGTAATCGCTACTGACGTTCGTCTTTGATTATTATATCGCTTCAGTTGTGGCTTCTCTGTAGTCATCACCGTTGTTTCTTTGTTCTTCGTTTGAATCCCCATCATTAAAGATCTCAATTAACTTCTCGGAGATGAATCTCCGAACCATCTTCTGCATATCTTCTTCCTCTGGGCATTCCAATTCGCTTATTAACTTTCTGATGTCATTCACAGCCTGCGTGGTCGAGCCTCTATGTACCTCTAAAGACGATTTCACCAACATGTAGACATCCAGAGGTAAAAGCACGGCGCCGACAATTCCTCCAGCTAAATTGGCCACGCGCACTCCCGCCAAACCCCCAGCTCGCGCGAAGGCACCAGCAGCAGCGAAAGCTCCAGCCCCTACCGAAGCCGCGGACGAAAACGCACGGAAAAACCTGGCGGAGATATCGATTCTCTCCTCAGTTGAGGTCGTAAACTCCCTTTCGACTAGTTGGTGAAGAAATTCAAAACCATTGCTTTCTATTTCTCTTAGGTTGGAGATGAACCTCTCAAGGTTTTCCAATTTTTCTTGCAGCTGCGTGCAAGCTTCCTTGTCCTCGTCAATGGCTCCCTGAACCTCTTTCAATCCTAGCTTTGCGAGGGTTATCTCGATTACTTTGGAAACAGACATCACCAGGCCTCCTGCGCCTCCGATTCCGGCACCAACGAGGGAGACCACAAGCCCGGCCCCAAAAGTGAAGGGCGCGGCGATCAGGCCCGCTATCGCTAGGATTCCTCCTACGGTGCTCGCGGAAGCACCTGCTATGGTCGATTTACTGACTTTTATGTGTTGCTCGTGTAATTTGGTTGCTAGTTCCTCCAGTTTTTCCAAAGTGCGTTTCCTCTGTGGTATCCACCGCCTGAAGGTGGTAACCACATCTTCCTCCAACCGGCCTAATTCTCGGAATCTCATTATGACTTGGGCATAACTTTCTTCTGACAATAAAATTCTGCAAGTCAAATATTCAATGAAGAAAAAAATTTAACTTTTGATGATCTATTCTGTCTAGATGCATAAGGCTGCTTTGCGATGAGTCGCTCTTAATCGCCTGAGGGGGGGGGAAAAGCTGGGCGATTTTGATTGTGTCTTGATAACATTTATCTTATCCCCCATAAGGCTTTTTAACACTCTTATGATCCTCTCCCTCCCCTCCCCTTATTAACAGTTTATCGGCAGTCTTTATATTCTGTTGGCGATGACTGATCCCCACTCCCTTCCCCTGTAAACTCTGTGATCCCCCCCCCTCCACTTCAGTGCATGATAGGTCCCCCTCTTATAAAGGCCTCCACCCAAGCCGCTCGCAGACCTCAAATTTCTTTCTCGGAAATGACCCTATAGAACTGTGATATTTGAAGACTTGTGTATGTAATCCAGAGTAATCTGAGTAATCTGCTCTATTATGTGTAACTTTTCCATTCATCACGTCATCCGCAAGGTTACAGTGTAACCATTTGCTTTCGATTTGTCATTAACGGCGCGTGACTGAAACAGGAAGTAATCTGGCTGTTGCCAAATGTATCTCACAAAAGAAACCTGCTTTATCTGGGATCCGCATACTTCCTCACAAAGTTGTTTTGGTTAAGAATTAAAGAAAAGACTGCGTAACAGTTGTAATTTTCTAAAAGTCGAAAGATTTTTTGAATAATTATGCATATTGAATATAAACTGTTTTAATAACCTTATCACCCTTGAAAGCATAATTGCGTGATGTTGATGCGATTTTGCATCAAATCATATTGAATTTCAGTTTGTATCAAAAGACCTTTACTCTTGGTGTTCACGCGTGACATATCCTCCAAATATTAGAATTCTGGTTGATGTCTCTGTAAAACATTCTACAAACCACCGGTATGCATAAATCTACCCGCATTCTGCCTTTATATGCTAGAAAACGAACTTATGACGCTCAAAATATTTGGGTCAAACGACTTCCTTAAATGATAATCGATCCCTCTCTTTGCGCAAAGGTTTCTGGGATCGTCAGAACAACCAAAAAATGTATTCGAAATATGTATGGCTAAATTTGTTTTGACGCCTAAAAACACGATTTTGGAGAGAGATCATCGCTTTTTCGTTGCTGTTTTTTCAGAATTGGATTTAGACAATGTTGATTGTTGGGAAATGTAAGATTTTCTTTGAATAACCACGAAACTACTCTATTTCCGCAAGTCTCATTGTGAATTCGTCATAGCGTAATGGTCTCGAAATATTAGAAATATCACATCATTCTTGACCTACTTTCATACACCTATTCTTGAACAAACCTTTGTCCGTCGTCCCGACCCACTTGTAACAGCTCAATATCCTGAAAACTCATTTTTTGATGGACAATTGTATTGATATATCCAGATCGCTATAACAGCGTGACAAAAATGGATTCAAATCGCTGAAACTTTAACTGTTATTTGTTTACTGAAGACATAACAAGCGCATGCGCACGAATCTGACGCGTGACTTCGTACAGAAATATGTTATTCGCCAGCCGAGATGTCTGTTTTGGGAAAAAGTGTACTTAAGACAGAGGGTACAGTTTTTTCCCGATACGGACTGATCTAGGCTGGTGAATAACATTTTTTTCCCCTTAAACTTGACGAAATTCTTTCCAAAAGAACCCGCATGATTAAAATAAGGGATGTAGTTATGACAAGACCTTCCATAAACTGAAGAACTTTTAGCGATTGAATGGTAGTTTAAAAGGAGATAATGCAAATTAAAGAGAGAGGCCTCACCGAAATATTTTCATTTGCGTAATGGTAATGGCAATTTAAAAGGCTTATATACAAACTCGCGAGCATTATTTTTATAACTATCTCTGGCAATCTGACACCGATTAGAGAGCGCGTAAGAAAAACAAGCGCGTGCACACTTTTGGAAAAACAACGGAGCTAGATTGGCAAGGACTGTCACGACAATGTTTTCTTGAAAAACAGTCAATGATCTTACGGAAAATATTATTCACTCTCATCGAGACGATTAATTAATGTACGAAGATTAACTTCCGCTCAGTCAATAAATGGCGAGTAAAGTATAATTATAAGTAAATTCCAATTTTTTTATTTGAACTTGAGATTTTGCTCGTTTGTTTGCTGAAATTGCGTGAGGAAATCTGGTCTTTCCACCACAATTTCGAATGAGACACTTCAACCAGACACAAGAGGATTTAATGCGGCTTGTTGTGTATTCCTTTAGCGGAGACACTCACTCTTCAATAGCTTTCTATATATTCTGTTTTATTCATCGATGGAGTATCTAATAAGTTGCTACAATCATGTAACTTGATCACAGTACTTTCATATCGTTTAGTAGTCCTACAGTAATATTACTGTCACTGGTACAAGTATTTTTACTTCTCAATACACTACATCCTTCCTGGGCAATGTTCAAAGAATCAGTAGGAACATAATTATTGTAATCACAAGCTTTGAAATCAGACTATGGTCAATTCAATACTTAACGAAATGAGATCAGTCCTTCGTCGATTTAACTAGCCTTCTTGATCTTGTGGTGATAACCTGGTCACTCTGGGAGGCTTGCTCCACAACCTTATTAGAGGGCTCGGTAATTTTGAAAGCGTGGCTGAAGACCCATCAGACTCGTCAGTCTTAGCACCAGTGTCTACATCAATGTCATCACCAATATGCTTACTGGGCCCATATTTGAGGAACTTCGCACTGCGTATCAAAGTTGTACCCGTGTCGACATTGACTATACTAAAAGTGTCTCTCGCTTTGGTCTCAATAATTACGTGCTTGGCCGCAGGGAAAATTGAATCTAGTTTGTTCGGCTTCATGTTGGCACAAAATACGAGATCGCCAACTTTGAAATGATGCGGCTCTGCATGTCGCCTACTATCGTGATGTTCTTTCAAACGCGCTCGATACAAATTGCATTTTGACCGATGTTCGCGATCGAGTGCTGCCAGGGCTTATTTGAATTGAACTCAAAGTACGGTAGTTTTGTTCGAAAGTTGGCGGTGGAACAAAACCATTCTAGGTGCTTTTCCACTAATTTGATGCTCTGTAGAGCATAAGAATTTTAGGCAACTTCATTTGTCAGGATTTACCTTCGCTGATGGCTGCTCGAAAGTTCTTCATTAAGTATCGATGAAATCTCTAATTTTCCTTTGCTTCGCACATAGTAAGGAGAAACACGAATATTTTGCATTCCACACGGTTTTAGAAACGCTTCAAACTCCCCTCTAACAAACTGTTATCCGTTATCCGTTATCAGAAACGATTTCCTCTAAAAACCCAAGTCGAGCGAGCGACTATATCTGTCGACGCTTTGATTACTTCACGTGAAGTGACCTCTTGCAAAATGTACGCTTCCGGTAGGATGAATCATAATCGATTGGACCACAAGATCCAGTACACCTTTTACCCAAGGACCACGAGGTAAAGGTGTTGGTCGAAGCGGCGTGTACTTTTTAAGAGGCTGATCAACAATGCACGCTTGACAATTCTTGACCTTAGTTTCTATTGCATCATCCATACCATCAGAAAAAAAAAACGAGTTCGAAGACATTGTTTAGTCTTGACGACTCCCTGATGGGTCTCGTGCGCTAATTTCAGAATTTCTTTTCGCAACGACTGTGGTACTACAATTCGGTTTTCTCGGAGAACAATTCCGTCAAGATTAGACAATTCGTCTCTTTATGCACCATAAAGTTTGAGATCATCCGTCAGTAACAATTTTCCACTTTGAGTTTGAACAAGTAATTGGGAGAGCGTGATGTCTCGGATCGCATGTCAGAGAGGGTGACAGCTTGAGGGTCTCACATATTTGATGTGAAAACAAATCTTATGTAGTCTTT